GATAGCAATAGCCCAATATATGTGAGGAGGAAAGCAGAATAGATATAGAATAAAAGAAAGAAAGCATTGTACAGAGGGAAAAGTTGAGGTTTGAAAAGGAAGATGAGAGTAGAGTTATAGATATAAAAGGATCGACATAAAAAATAAATGGCATGCACAGTAGCAAAAAAATCATGTAGCATGCGCACGTGCTTAGAAGCCAAATAGGAGAACAGGCCTACAGGGTAAGACAAGGGCGAAACATCTTGAAGCAACCCCTCACGTGAGCATGAGGGCTGGAGGAACGAATGTAAAAAATTTTTGCACGTGCATGCAAAATGTTGGAGCGTGATGATGTGATATAATTGACGCATGGCACAATTATATAAGACTTTTTGGCTTTTTATTAGGTTGTGAAGCTTTTAGAGAGTTAGAATATCTTGTAAGGTGTTTTAGTGGAGCATTAGAATGATTGCACATGGAACTTGTCATTATGTCAACGTGAAACATTACAAAGCTTTCCAATTTGGGTTAAATTAAGCTTCGAGGCACATTTCTTTGGGAAGAGGGAGGCGTCAACATTTAAAATTTTGGTTCTTTGGGGTTGGCAACGACAAGGTGGAAAGGTGGACAACAAGACACAACAACGGAGACGAATAAAGGACAGCAAGAATGGTTGGACAAGCAGGAAGAAGGGTTTGGTGGTTGCAGAAGATAGCGGAGCTGCTATCCTTGTGAGACCTGCAGCAAGTACGGCAACAGAGGCAAGGGAAAAGAGGTTGAAGAGGATGGGAATATCGAGGATAAATTCTCTCGTAGGAACAATATACAGTCGGAGCTCCACCCGACCCTCGGGAGTGAGTCACCGCCGCAGAATGAGAAACAGCTGAAACACCACTCGTCCTTGGATACAATCTCATAAGAAAAAAAAGACATCGATGGTTGTCAGGACAGAAACATCAGCAAATAACTGCCCAAAAAACACGAAAACAATATATTTATAGACCTAGGGTAAATAGGAGCGGACCCAAAGAAAGGGTCGACCGACCCTACTGGAATAGTCCAAGATTCCATCTCCTGCCACAATTCGCATTGCTATACCAGAGATGGCAGACACATCCCAATGCTATAGCAAGGAACGTGACAAAAGCTTTTGTGGGAAGCTTCTGTGTCAATACATATATATATATATATATATATATTGAGCCCTTATTTCTAGTGGGTGATGTGGGAGATTTTCCAAGATAATTTAGGTGTTCCTCAAGTACCGATTAGGCGTCGTTTGAGTAATTTTGGTGAAAACCGAGGTAATTTGGGCCTTATTTAAGTGCATCACATTTGTAATTTTTTGTTTCCATCATGTTCATTTGATTTGATTGTGAAAGATATCTCTTGATCAATTTCAATGTTCTAGAAGTACTGACATTGTATATCGTATAAACAAATATCATTCAAGTAGGTTCGACAGTGTTCGAAGTGAAACTATCCCAATTTGAATGTTGTGTTTGTTCTTAACACAATCAATCGCATCGTAAGGCAAAGAAGGTAAAGGTGGCCAACACCAGTTGCACAATTCTATGGAACTTCAACTGCATCTCCCCACGTTGTCACATGTCATTGAGATTCATCAACCTTAATCATCGGTACTTTGAATATAATTAACACCACCAAAATTATATTAGCATGCCCAAATTATTGACTCCTTTAGTTGGAACCTTTTCGCCACAACCTGCCTATTCTCCATTCCAACCACTCAAATTTAAGAACGCACATACCACCAACTCTTCCAACCGGTAACAACCATACATTGACAGCACATGTATGTCTCTCCCTCCATGAAAACTAGTTGGGCTCCACTATGGTGTTATTGCTTGCTTGCTTCTTGTCGCATATAGCTCTCTTCGTCTCCCTCTGGTCCCCTTCGTGTTTGTCAATAGATGATCGGCGTCAATTATTAAAGCTTCAATGGCATCCCATCAGGCTTCTCCAACTAACACACACATATTCCAAACATAACATCTCCTATTCAGCCTCCTAAAGAAGCCTTCAACAAATTTTCTCCAATAAATTAGTTTCATGTTGATCAGCCCAACATGTCACTATTTGGCCTTTGACACTGTGTCGCTCACTAACGCACTAGTCTAAGCATATTGAGAGCACATTTCAATTAGAATCTAGAGAAATATGTCACATGTCCAATGACCAATGCAAAAAAAGAATCATAAGTTACTATTAGAAAATTAAACCGACTGCTCAAGCAACAAAGGAAAAGACTACCTCCTCTTATAAACGCTTTATGCCCAACACCTAAGAACTAGGCTTCACTACTCCATTGAGACTGAACTCATGTAAATAAAAATGAGTCCTTCTCCCTCTACTCCATTTCTTCACTAATAGCATCACTCGACAAAGGTGGACCTTCCAATATACATACACATTTTATCTATCATTATGGACTTTCTTACCACAATAAATGAGCATAGCCTACAAAGCTATATCAGATAAATTTACCATCTTCGTATGTCTTCCGTCTTACTCTCATCTTCACGGGCACAACAGCCACCACTACTGCGAAGCTTGCTGAAACCACCCTCCGGAATAGACAATCAACAATTTTCTTTCCTCCAGCCTAGAAAAATCTGAGGCAGAAGACTCAACATTCCTCATGTTTGAATCTTTCTCGCCAGGAAATATTGTGAGAAATAGAAATTTATGGTAGGATTCCAAGCATATTTACAACCAAATATATAATAAAAATTAATTTAGAATTTAACCATCCTAATTTACTCAAAAAACAAAAGCAAATTGATTCGTGAACAAACTCTACATTACAAGAAAGCTCATCTCCAAATAACAAAATATCCTAATTTACTCAAAAACAAAAGCAATTGATTCATGAACAAACTCTACATTATAAGAAATCTTATCTCCAAATAACAAAATAAATACAAATTAAGACATAATTTTGGTAAAAATTTGTCACAGTATTCATTAAACAAAAACTTATCGAATTGAGTGTAAAATTCAAACACATCGTTATCCTTAACGTAAATTCCAAATTTTGCACCTCATGATCGCCAAGCCTTCAATTCAAGTTGTAAACTCTAGTAGAGTCCCGATGATACTCAATTTAATCTCAATAGTGTGATCTAAGAATTTAGCACCTTCCAAATTATACATAAAAATAAGAAAAGTAAAATTTCAATAAACATAATTCTTTCATGATCAAATACATAGATTGTGAGGAAAGCTTTTTCTTATCGTCTTTCTTTAAGTGAAAAATCAGATTGACTACATCTTTCATGATCAGATCGCATTTTCCTTAATAATTCAGCGTGAACTTTATATATTCATCTTATTTGTATATTTTCAATTATTTATAGAGCATGCCCAAACCACCAATTTTATTTTTGACAGACTCGCCTTCAAGATTGGTTACTCCGATTTTCTTTCTAATATTATCATTATGCAACATATTCTTTCTAGTTTACACAGCATCCATCCTCAACATCCTCATTCCACTAAAAAAATTAGAGGGGTGAATCCAATTCCGCTGCATTCTCATGAAAACTGGTATGCATCCATTTGGCTAATAGTTTGGGCTTTTTCTTTCTTCTCCGCATCATTGGAATATTCTGTTGGAGCACAAATGTCACCTAATACAGCGAAAAATTCCAATAATGGACAACTGGTAGAAGTACAATCTCTTCTTTAATTTATCTATCGATTGTTTCCACTTGCTGCTTCCTGAGAATATCAACGGACTGATTTCATCTCAAGCCAACAACCTTTTCAAGAAAAATTTAGAGTGCATTTATGGAACAAAATTTCTCACACAAATAAATTTCGCCCCGGTCAATACAATAACTTATACGGCAACCACTTTTCATTGATATGAAAGCATATAAAAATAGAGAAGCGTCCTAAACAGTGTAAAATTTGTTTATATAACACGACATGTCCATAAATATTGATTGCTGCTAAATTTCAAGGTGCAAAGAGCATTAATCTTAAATATATGGTGCCTTTTTCTAATATTGCCAAAAGGCGCACTTACATAAATACCACCTACATCCTATGTACTTACATATATAACACGTAAAGTTTATTTTTTAAATTTATACCACCCAAATCCGATAAGGAGAGTAGATGTTTTAGATTCGACTTAAGAAAGGCAGAGGTAGACCGAGGAAGACTTGGGCTTGTATTAAAAATGATCTTAATTTATTAGAACTACATGAAAATATGACACTAAATAGGACGCAATGGAGAAAAAGGATTTATGTAGCCGACCCCACGTAGTGGAATTAAGGCTTTGTTGTTGTTGTTGTTGTTGTTGTTGTTGTATTTATACCACCCAAATCTTTCATATCACATAAAAAATACCACCATTTTAGGTTTTAAAAAGTGAAAGACTCCTTTTCATGCATATGTAAGGTGATATGTATGTAAAAATTTATGTTTAGGTGTTAAAAGGGAACATCAAAGTATTCCCCACGCAGTCAAGTTTTCATTAGACATAAAGGTGAAGTTAAAAAACCATCAGATTGACAACAGCATTGGAAATATTAAAAAGGTGAAATATTAGTGTACGATGTCAGGCAATGGAGGAACAATTTCAAGCCCAACGGATTTGAAATGGCAGGCAACTACCTAAGATCAAAACAAAAAGCAATTCTCCATGGCAACAGATAATAAGCTATAAAATTATCATCTTTCAGAATCAATAAAAACACAAGAAACCAGTCAAATTCAGATAGATAAGAGTGAAGTGCTAAATTTTGTAATGAAATTAGGAAATTTACATATGTAGCACACAATGTTTTATTTACATACGCCTAAAATTCCATATCAAAGTATGCATGAAAGGTGTATTTGACTTTTAAAAAGTGGTAAAAGTTCTTTTTCTGCTGTGATATTAAAGATTTGGGTGCTACGTATGAAAATATGAAAGTTTAGATGTAAGATATGTAAATACATAAAAATTGTGTGCAATGTATGTAAATTGTGTGCAATGCAATGTATGTAAATGTCCCAATGAAGTTTAAATATAACCACCTAGTTGAGCACATACAACTCACATTCGCCTGCTTAAGTTAGTTATTGAATCTTCACGCAGAAAAGACACCAGATCTTCAGAAAACATGTTATTGAGCCACAGAGCTTTAGATAATTCTTGACTGTCACATCAGACATGATTATCATTCTCATAAACCTTGCTAAGCAATGTGGATCATGATAAATATCCTAAGAACAAAAAAATAATGAATAAATATGGAACAAAAATTGGAGGAAGATCTCGGGCAAATCAATAATAACCTACAAGTATGTGAATGCCCGCCATGAAGATATGAAGTCATATATGTGCCAGTATTTTTCCATTAACGCAAATAATTCTCTCATACTATCTCATGCATTTCTTCTTTTCATTGGCCTGCAAATATACAAGAAACAGTCATTTAAAAAAACTACAGAAACTGTGTAGAGTAAAATGACACATTTAGCTAACCGGGAATCAAAAGCTCAATCCATCAAACAACCGCTGGCTTGTACAAACCATAAAATATTTAGATCCAAATCTATATTCAATAAGTGTTTGGGAATTTTACATTAATATCACACAATTCTTATGTAAATACATATCTAACACCTAAACTGTCATATTTACATTTATAACATTGCTATAGCGCCTCAAAGAAAGGTAAATCTCTCTATAAGTATGAATTAGAGCTAATTGCTCACTGTCACATGTTATACATTGAAAATTAATAATGACTTTTAAATATGAAAGGAAGAGATCATAAAATGACAAATGTAAACAAAACTTTTGCTTATTTTTCCAAATCTAGAAAAACAGATTTATCAATCCATAAAAATTATTGGAAAAGAATCAATGAAAAAGGAAAGAATTGGAATTGATTCTAATCTTTCTCGAAACAAACAAAAATAAAAGAAAGAGGTAAACATAAAACATTGATAGACTTGAGCCATTTTGAGGGCTTATTTCAGAACAAAAACAAAGAAGCTTATGAAATAAAAAAGGGTTGCCCACCCGATTAATGGGGATTTCTTAAATATTCTATTTCCAAAGTATCAAGGTCTACAAAAAGGAATCAAATATGAGGCTGAGTTCTAAGATAAACTAAGCTAGTAACCGAAAAGATGGTGAACAAAAGAAACCCATTGACTCAGGAAGAACATCAAAAGTATTTTCAATGCTAAAAAGACAAATTTTCCCAACAGCTCTCATACCAGAACACAAGAAGAAAGGATCTTGATCTGGTTTACAAGGAAGTTCATCCAAAAAACCTTTTAACCATTACAGAGAATTATCATGAGAAAAATGGCCAAAGTCCATCTATTTTTCTTTATTAAGAATGATAAAGCTATAAGTTGGTAAAAATACCAGGAAAAAGTGACAAACTTAAAATATAAGAAAATTAAGATTAGAATTAGCAATAGACGTGTTTATGAAGATTTGAACAAGCAGTGCAAAAATAGAAAAACTCTATGAAGCTTTGAAATTCTCTAGGATTTATCTTTTAGTCACCTCCCATGCAACTTAAGTGTATATTGAAGATCTCCTTTTCAAGGATGAAATATCCTATTTATACAATTGACTTCTTGGAATGAAAACAACTAGCACTGGTTACTTCATAGAAAGAAGAATTTTACTTAGGCCCTGAGATGAGAATCATTATCAACTTTACCACAATTTACAAAATCCAGTATTATTAAACCATTAAAGAAAATATTTTGGAAAAAGTTACTTGATCGTCAATTGTAAATGAAGAAAGAAGCAAGAAGCAATCATTTGTGTATTGATTCAGATTTTGTTTCTTTGCTTCCTCAATTTCTAGCCATGCCACAATTCATCAACCCCCCTACCCAAGCTACACATATCTATTATTTACTACTTCAATAGGAGATGCTCATAAAGGACTTTAGTATAATCAATTCTAAATCTATACTTCATAATTTACCACATATATGTTAAGATTTTAAGTTTGTCGCTACAGATTAGTTATAAGTGGCTTATTCATTGATCAAAACTCAAAATCATATAGAATAGCTAGTCTGAATGACGTGGAGATCATGGAAAGAAGTTTTAAGATTGTGTTTTCTGCCTCTCAATTCCACTATCCTGTAATCTATGGATCCAAAGGAGTCTACTTAACATCTGACAACTCCCAGATTCCACTATCCTCTAATCTATGGATCCATAGGAGTCTACTGCTTAGTTATAAGTGACTTATTCTGAACTCCTTATTTTCTACAATATCATTGCCTTTTCTGCTCTCCAAGGGATGATGGTATCTCTGGTTTTCCGGCCACTTGTTCCCATAAAAAGAAGGAAATAAATCCACATTCAGTTCTCTTTATTATACATTTAGGACTTATTGTATTCTTATTTTATGTTTCTGTCTTGTTCTTGTAAGATAATTACTCTGTAATTGAACTGCCATTTAATGCATAGTGCAAGAGAGTTTGTATTTGTCTTCTATGGTGTTTTCTTCTTGTTTGATAAATAAATAAATAAGATATGCTCTCCGATTTCCCAATGTTTTTCTTCAAGGTATCAAAGCCGCTTCTTTGATTCTATTTTTTCAGTTTAACTTGAGTATGGTTAAACATGAAATGGACTGCAATAGAAGCTATAACTCTCATGCACGCTCGAGTTGTAAATCCAAAACTCATAATAGCAATGGCGGCCAAAAAAATTTCATAAATCTTCCTATCACAAAGCAAAAATTGAAAGGATAAAATTAACATCAAAGCAAAAATTAAAAAGGCAATGAAGACTACCTCATTAAACCTACTATGTCTCCGCACGAAAGATCAAAAGTCGCAATATGTAGAATATCTATATGTGTGTGTGTGCCGCAAGTCATGGTCTGCAAAATTACACTACTCAAAATTATTTGTTTTTTAAAATTTAAAAATAAATGAAGACACCCAAAATTAATGAAGGCTTTATGTTTTTAAAAATAAATGAAGACACCCAAAATTACAATACTCCCACTCAAATCTCAATATTGGCAAATGTTAAAAACTTGACACCGTGAAATCATAATAAATTTTTATTTATATTTAAAATTTTTTATAATAGTTCCAACTTAGTGAAATCATAATATATAAATGTGACTTAATATTTCGAAATAATTAAATCTTACAATCACTAAATTTCATATCATGTACTTAGATGTTCTTTCACTATACTAAAGCCGTCCTTTTCCAAAAAACTTGACACCGTTATTTTAATTTTTTTAAGATTTCATTTAATGCTAAAAAATTAAGATATCACTGGGTATAAATGATGAAATAACAAACATGGTTAAAACAGGGGACGTTGCTAGTATATTTTCTATAGATAAGTGCCAAGACCTCACCAACTTGAAATTTTACCTGTCTAAATCATCACAAAATTATCACTATTTTCTCAAGCCAAAATACATTAGCCAACTTCCAATAAGCTAATGCACTCAAATCCAAAGTCAGAGAAATGAAGTGGAAAGAGATGTTTGCATTACCAGAAAAATAAGAAATATAATAAATAAGATATAGACACTTATAAATTTATGTATCTATCAAGCATTTTGTGTTTCATTGTTCCGTTATAATATTTAAATGAGTTTTTAATGAAGGAATAAAACTGGAAGGATGGATGATGAATTTTATGCCAACTAACGTATGCAATATATGGTGCCATGAACGCAACAACATATAATAAAGTTGATCACTCTTGAGATAATGAATATCTACCTCCTGAAGTTTTTTCATCACAAATGCCTCATAATCTTGAAAGCCAACTCCTACAACATTGTTAATTCCAGGGCCCATGCTCTCGTTCTGATTTGTAGATGCGGTATCTGAAAACATAGGTGCAATGGGTTCCAGCGGAAGAACAAGCAATGGGTTTCTTATTTCCCCGCTCATACTTTGTACCGCTCTTACCTGATGGACAAATGAAGGAGTAAGAATAAGCTTTTGGAATTGCATATTAGCATGTAAAGATGCGAATGCCAAATTTCTTTCATAGATCTGCTAATAAATCTAAAGAAAGAAGGAAAAAAAACAGACAATAGTGAATGCCAAAAAATTTTGCAATATTGTGTTTTATATACAAATTTTTTTTATCAGAAATATATATATATATATATATATATATATATTTATAACCCAAATGCACGTGGCTAGAATTAATCTCAATAGAAGTTGAAAACAAAGAAGGCTGCAGAGCATAAGAAAGAATATGATGCTTTTATAACTAGGTGACTCTTATAGGCATTGTTTAGGCAAAGAGAGGGCCAAAAAAAAAAGGGAAGAGGAGAAAGTTTTGGTACATTAAAATGATATACCGATTCATCCTAAACAAGGAAGTAAACAAGTCAAACCAAGGGTTACTTTGAGCGTAAGCCCAAGCTTAATTAATCAATCAAGTTCGAGCTGAAACTTAAGATCGAACTAAATCCTGCAAGTTCAAGTCATCCCACAAACCGGCTTATTTATTATGAAAGAGAAAATATAATTTTGAGTTAAGAATATATTGCAATAAAATGATAAACATAAAAAAGTAATCTGAAAAATCATAAGTATCACTTAATATAAGAAAATAAGACATGAATTCTAATATATTTTAAGTGTTTTTCATAATATAATTAAACTTGCTCACGAAATATTAAATCAAGTCAAAACTAGCTCTAATTTGGCTTATTAGCTCCTCAAGCTCTACTCACAAACCATCTATAAAGTAAAGCCCGAGTCTGCTTCAATCAGTTACACCCTAACCCCTAAACGCATATATCCTACTAAACTAAAACACATACAAGGCTTTAATCTATTATTGTAAAAAGTTCTAAAATATACCTATTAAGGCCCACATAATTATTCTGGAATAGTCCAAAGAGAAGGCAGCTAAGACTAATTACATCAGAGAAGGTGCAAACAAAAAAAGTATAAGCAGGGCAGAACTAAACATGATTGAAATGAATATATCAGTAATCTAAAACATCGTATGAAAATTAGATGATTCAAAACTTACATAAATAGGACGCTAATACCACAACTAAACAAGAAAATTATAGTGAAGATAAACTCTATAGAACAATAAAATGGGCTAAATGAAAAATCAAGCGAGGCACCATGTATCATTTGAAACAACTAGCAACTCAGAAGCTAAAATTTTTTTTAAAAAGAAGACATTTTTGCAATAGAAAAGATCAACTAGATCATTAAAAAATAAGAGAAACTCGTGTGACATAATAATGAGTTTTAAGCAATCTTTTAAAACTGCAATTTCTACACAATATAAGAGGTTTAAGTTGAACAGGTACATGATAAAAAATTTCAAATGCAACAAGTGGATTCTCAATGAATAAAAATAAAATGTTAAAAATAATATTCTTAAATAAATTAAAAGGAGAAGATATATCATGGCTTCAATATTAAGGTTATACAGGTAAATTTAAAGACAATCGATAAAATATTTTGATTTTAGAAAGTTATTATCAGAACATCAAAATGATCTTAATTTATTAGAATTAAATGAAAATATGGCACTCAATAGACACAATGGAGAAAAAGGATTTGTGTAGAAGAACCCACTTAGTGGGGTAAAGGCTTGATTGTCACTGTTGTTGTTGTTGTCATGTCAAAACATTGAAATGTAATTTTGCAGAAATATTTTACTTTAATCCGCTAGCATTTTTTTTTTATATTTTTCAAGGAATAATGTAAAAGTAGCATTTCAAACTAATGTCTTCTTAAATCGAAAAATAATAGAAGCAATAATCGAAAATACAAAGAATTATTCGAGTCTAGCAAACTGGAAAATGGAAAACCAAAAACACCCAAAAAAGAGACATACAAGAACTTTAATCACCATTAAAGAAAGTCTAGAGAATCGTCAAGTTAGCAGGGGAAATATGAATTGACTGCTGCTTGCATAGAACACAAAGCCTTGCTTTCTAGAAATTTAGATATAAATAGTGATGCATCCCTCTTTACCTTTTCTCATCAATAACAAAAAAATTATAAAAAAAAACAAGCATGATATTATTACATTTCACTTTATAAGGTCTATAGTCAAAATTTAGCCTCCATGTAAATTGTTCTTTCTATATACTTTCTCCATTTCAAGAACATTCGTTTGGGGGTAATTCATAAGACACTGCTCGTACTTGACATAGCTTCTTTCACAATCTCAATTTAAGTTGATCAAGGATCTTTCATTAGGTACATCGAAAATTTATCAAACATTAAAAAACACTAACCAAGATCCCCCAAATAACAAAGAAACACTTGTTGATATCCGCCTAGAGAAATCCCAGCCTATGAAGGAGCTTGAAATTGGAGGAAGAAGGATTAGGGGATAATTAAATATTCAATGGAGTTTTTTAATGTACTGTTTATAAAAGTTAAAAATTAGAAGCTCATTCAAAAAAGTTTTAAAATAGCATCTTTCTTAAAAAGGGCTGAATAACAAAAGATACTATACAAATTTCCCGAAAATCATAAACTTTGCACAGCCAACATTATTAAATCCAACTAAATATGCCACACTTGAGCAATAATAATAACAAATTATGGTTAACTGTAGTAAGAAAATGTTAAAATTGAGCAAGACAAATGTTGAACCAACTGACTAAAGTGGTCTTAGACAATTCAGTTCGGCCCTTTAAGAAATAGACCATGCCAAGGCAATGCATTGAGGTTCACCAGGATTTTTTCTCAGTTTCTTCGCAAATGGTATTCTTAAATAAGAGGAATAAAAAAGCGAGCTAATATATTTTAATAAAAAGTTATATTTTCCGGCATCAAAGTAGAACCTTTCAATAGAGAATGGAGAAAAAAACAAATATGCAGCATTAACAAGGTAAGTATAATTTAGTCTGGTCAAAGGTTATGGGTGTTACATTCATACACAATGCAATATTCCGTGATAATAAGAAAATAACTCCAAGCTCCCTCTTACTTTCAGATTTTCTATCTTTTTGCTAATTCTCATTGATAATATCATTATTGCAACAATTTTAAGGAAATATATCTAACAATATGATAATCTTTCATTTATGCAGTTAAAAAGAATGATATAAACAGGACTAAGATATGGGAGTAATATATCAAAGAGTTGAAAAGCACCGTAGGAAAAGTTCCTTCTACAAACAAAAATGCTCTATAAAAGCAACCTAAGCTAAAAAGAATATTGTCAAAGCAACCTAAGCTAAAAGAATATTGTCAAGGAAATCTAAACTCGGACACAAGATCGAGGTTATTGATAATCCATTTTTTTAAATGTTGTACTGTGGATGTGTTTCGCAGTCCTGAAGTATGCAAGGAAATATAAGGGCATGGCTTTACTTCTTTCTTCTTCATCTTTTATTCTTTTGGTTGGATTAATCTTCAGAAATTTCAAAGATAGATGGATATTACTAACCAATCAATTTAATTAATTTTGAAAAGGCAGGTTGGACCAGTTTTAAAGCTAGCAATAGTAAAAAATGGCCTAAGTTCAACTTAGGTCAATCCTCTTTTGAAGTGAGACCTTATAAGCTTTTGAGACCTTGATAAAAAACCTAGAAAATTCCTTCTGCCATCCAGTTCCTCACATTAACTACTCAAAGCCATCATATCATCCTTATAATAAAATGAGTAAAAATATAAATTTAGGACATTTAGTATTACAATCATTATATGATATGATGATTTCTTGTGAAAAAAAAAAATTATCTCCTTGAAAGGAAACAAATTCACTAACACGGCAATAACAAGAAGCTTATGAAAAATTGTAATTTAAGGTAACCAATGCCATCCTGACGGGTTGGATGAAAGAAAAAACTACTGAGCACGCTAATCTGAAGCCACGGAGAAGTAAATGATCGAGTAATACTAAGAAATATAGGTCCTCACAAAAGATATTTGAGTAACTGATGGGGGAAATGAACTCCAATGAAAGTGACAGGCATTAAGAGCAAATTTTTACTTAGGAGGAAAACAGAAATAAATGGAATATTAAATAATATTAAAATAAACTTATCATGTAGATACTGTTGCTTAAACTTTAAAATCCATGTTATTCATGTGAGAATTTCATAAAATAATTAAAACTTTATAGCATATATATTTTTTTAAGAACTTGAATCCCAGATCTCTCCTTAGGTGGCCGATGGCAACACCACAGGCTAAATATTTGTAAGATACAATTAGGTAAAACAAAAGCTTTAAATAGATCAGATCGTCATTTCCACGAGGTTGAAATAAATTAAAGGGAAGTTTACAAGCATACAACACAATTCTTCTGTATTTACATATCTAAAAACTAAATTTTCATATTTACATACATAACGCTTTGGTGGGATGAACCTGAGCATGAAAAGGTATATTTCATTTTTAAAAAGTGGGTGATAGTGGTATTTTTTATGTGATATTAAAGATACTGAGTGTTATGAATGTAAATAATTGGTGTTAGGCATGTAAATATCTAAGAATTGTGTGATATGTATGTAAATGCCCTAAAAACAAAACTTACTCACTTTCAAACTAATAATCTAAAAACATGTAGAGGTGTTTGGTAGCCCTGTTTTAACAGGATCACCGTCTGGATTTCACGTAAATCCGCCAAATGTGAATTTTGGAGGAGCTAAATCCGGTGATCAGTTAAATCCAATATTTCTTATGCCAAAACGTAAATCACGGATGATTTACTAAATCTGTTCGAGAGTTGAATTTAAGGGATTTAAGGAGAGTTGAAGTAACAATGTGTTGAAACCTGATAAAATGCCAAACATAAGAGATGGATTTAAGAACATTTTACTGGATTTAACAGCACCGGGTTTTATAAATCCGGATTTACCAGATTTACTAAATCCTACTTGCAACCAAACGGCCCCGTAATATGACAATCAACATGGCAAGCTATTGGATGTTCAATGCATTCCTTAAAAAAACATGAACTCTAGAAGGACGGAAAAAGATGAACTGGTATCCAACTCTGGATTCTGATAAACACTTCCTTTTAACAAACGCAAAGATGAGATGCGTGCATCACCAGTGCAAATACAGAAAAAGAAGGGGCATTTACATACATACCACCCAATTCTTATGCATTTACATTTCTAACAGCTAAATTTTACTTTTACATTTATACTACCTAAATCTTTCATATCACATAAAAAATACAATCATTTTAACTTTTAAAAAGTTAAATACACAGTTAAATACACCTTTTCAAAAAGTTAAATACACCTTTTCATGCATAGGTAGGGTGGCATGCATGTAATAATTGATATTTAGTTGTTAGATATGTAAATACATAAGAATTGAGTGCTATGTATGTAAATCTTCCAAAATAAGAGCTCACCACAGCTTCTCGGGAAGCCATTACAATAAAAGCTGATGCCTTCTTCTTTGAATTGTTTGACCGGATCACAACATCCTCAACTATGCCAAAACTCTCAAATATTCCACGTAGCTTGGCAGCACCATAATCTCCAGCACTTGGCTCCCAAGAAACCTTCAGTGTCCTCCCTTTATCCAAACTTCCTCCTGCGTTCTCTCCCCCTACCTTACTTTCTCCATTTTGTTGCCCACAAACCTGGCACGCATTAAACAAATAAGACTACATCCAGTTTAGTAACATAGAAAAATAGATATCCAATATTCAACTTTGATCATCTGGGAAAAATAAGTAATTTGAAATAATCAAGTAAAGGATATCTGTTTAGGCAATGATAAGGTAATGGGTGAATATAATGAATCTCAAAATAGTCACTCTAAATTTTCAAATAAAAATCTTGATTATTTAGAGAGGATTAGGAATAAATGAAAAAGACATTATTTTCAGTGTGCCAAAACGCAAACACAGCAGCATATTGTAAGATGTCAATGACATATAGAAGATGTTTAGTTTAATTTAAAAAATAAAAACGAGGCTGACTTCATCTCGTGGATTTAATGCTCAGCTGCCACTAAAACAACAGCAAGTCGAACGGACTCTATCAATTTAACAGAAAGTTCTGCTCCGTGTTTTACCGACTCGGAGGCCTTCTTAGCTTTGAATTCTGCAATCTCCTTTTTCAGCTCATCCGCCTTCCTCTTCTCCTTCAGCCGGACCTCCTCAGCCGGATCAACAGCCACCGCTGCAGATCGCTCCCTCTCCTCAAGATCAGTGGCCATTTTCCGGCGCTTTGCGTCCTGGAATGAATCGCGGACGACCTGTTCACGTCGAGCTCGGAGTTTTGCATCGAAATCAGAGCGTTTCGCCTTGTCAAGGAGAAACTCAAAGGAGGAGGTCAGAAGCTGGAAATCTGCAGTGGCGTTAGGATCATCGGGGCGCTTGTCCGGATGGCGGAAGCGAGATTGCTTCCGATAAGCTTTTCTGATTTCTTTTAATGAAAGCTTTGATCCTTCCTCGCCGGACGGTAGACCGAGAACAGCGTAGTGGTCTACATAGTCTTCCTTTGAAGGTGCCATCAGAAGATGCCTCGATAGCGATAGAGCAGACGACGACGGGTTAGGGCAGAGAAATTTTGCGGCACCGGTAATGTGAGAGAAGCAGAAGCTGCGGCGGCAGTTGTATCCCTAACGGGTGTTACCTTTCTTCATCTTCTGCCTCCATGTTTGAGTTAGGAACGGTGCGAAAAGAGAGAAAGATGGTAGCTTCAGATCGTTGTTTGACTCGATCCCGCCATTGAACGGTGCGAAAAGAGAGAGATGGTAGTTTCCAGTTAGCCCTAACTGCGATGCATCGCGACGGCTCGGAGACGAAGAAATTGCGTCAGTGGATTTAACCCAAGGGTGGGCGGCTAAAGCTGGATTGAAGTAGCGGCTCTCAAGTCGTTGCACAAAAAAGTATGTTTCAAAAAGTTGCAAAAATAATTTATTTTATTTTGTAAAAATCTGCTCGTTGCAACGGATAATTTAATAACTCGAGTTGAAAAGAATATATTTATATCATAAAAATTTATAAAAATAGTAAATACGACAGTTTCTCAAACAGAACGGTAATGACGGTCTGAAAAACAAAACATACAGAAAAATATCTCAAACTAACTATAAATCTAACCAAACACAAAAAAATAAAAATGAAATCAAATTATTTGTTAAATAGTCATCTTCTCGATTTCTTATTTTCTGCGACGTAAATCCAACTGTAAGACAGGTTTAATGAATTTATGTTGTTGTTACTTGCAACCTTCATTTCATTAACGGTTCACAATATTTATCAAATTTGATTAATCATATTTAACTAAATCCGGCACACAGGGTCTTTGGGCGAAACCGGGAGCAGGGGATGTTGGTGAGGGTTTCAGGTAAGTGAAAATATTGAATTCAGACAGCTACTCATGAGGCACCATGTCAATTCATTTTCTTACCTGTGTGACGATGTGGTGGCTTATGATTGATCGTTTGGACGTGCGGCTTCAGAACAAAATATTTTCTCTTCGGAGAAAAAGGAAAAAGTGAAGATGTGATTCTTGTTTTAATTTAGTTTTATTTTAATTTATAATTAATTTTTAATTAATATGTCAACAAATTGATTATTATTAGATAAATATATATTTAATTACTTATAAAAAAATATATTTTTATTTTTTAAATTTAAGATAGTTAATAAATTTAAATATATTTTTAATTAATATAATTAATATTTGATTAATGTTAAAAAATTAATAAGTAATTACTTTAATTAATTTTTAATAATTTATTAGTTTAGTGAATAATTAATTATTGATTAGTATAATCATAAATAAATTTAAATTTTGTTTTAATTAAAAAATTATTTATTATTATAATATTAATAAAATCAAACTTTAATTATGAAATTTTATCATAACAAATATTACAAATTTTTAAATCCTCATATAACAAAGTTTTCAATCAATCTCATAGAATTTGATTGGATTTACTAAACTTATTGTCAACCATTTTTTGAGATTTGTGTTTGGGGCAGCATGTGATTATCCAAATAAGCGACTTATCCTGAAACGCGACCCGCGGGGTTCGACCCCATGGCCTGCATTTAGTGTAAAAACCCAATCAGGTTTTCGGATAAGCTGTCGAAACGTGTTTTCCAAACAATGAGGCGGTGTTCCACACTTATAAGTTGCCCCAAACAGACCCTTAATGTTTTCAATATTTGCTAAATCCTAGGTTCATCTCGTGTTCGACTCGTTTATATTTCGAGCTCAAATAGTGTGTTCGTGTTTGACTCGTTTGTTTAGCGAGTCGAACACGAGCTGTTCACGAACAAAGTCGTTTTGACAACCATAAGATGTTAAGGGTTAAGACAAGATTTACAAATTATTGTTTACATTAAAACATCATTTGAAACTAATTAAATATTTTTTTTCTATTTTCGTAATTAATACTTTTAATTGATTATAAATTATTGTAGTCTTGTAGTCAATTAAATTTTTAAAAATACAATTCATCAATTACATATATAT